ATGATCAGACATTTGAATCTAGTCTTCTGTATTCTTTTTCATGATGACCAAAATGTTACACTTGAACAGGACAACAATATAATTGTTGTCATAAATTCTACATTCTGCCAAAGACATTAGAAATTTGAGATAAATAGGTGGGCTTGAGGCTTGAATCCCATGACTTCTTTTAAAGTATTTCTTTTGAGAAGGCAATCGGCTTTGATAACTACAGATTTCTTTTTCGTTTACAAACCTGTACCCTTTACCTCTTACATTTCTCTCCTTCACGGAGCACGATGGCTCAGTAGTTAAAGACCCTGAGCTTGTCAGCTGGAACAGAATGAGCTCCTGTTACTCGCCCAGGCCTGCCCACCGAGCAATGCAAAAGCATGCAAATGCAAGTAGATAACTAGATACCACTTCAGTGGGAAGGTAACAGTATTCCATGTGCCTCAAAGTATAGTCATTCTGGCCACATGACTATGGAAATGCCTTCATACAAATGCCCCCTAGAGTCAGAGACAGGAAATCTTTACCTTTATACATACCACACACACACACACACACTGCGTAGCACTTTAATAGGTTGTAGTAATTCCTATTAAAGAATCTATTTGCTAACTGATTGTATTTTACTGTGAGGTAAAATCCAAATAGAATGAAAGGTGCTATAGTTATTAAGGTGATAGAAAGCCATCAGGAAGATCCAGGTTTAAGTCCATTAAGACATGGAAGCTTACTGGTAGCCTTGGGCCAACAAGTCACTCTTGGCCCAACTGACTCTGCAAGCTATTTGTGAGGATAACAGTTGAAGAGGGAGTAACAATATTAAGAGCTGCCTGGATAACTCCTATTCTGTAGATGGGGAGGACTGTTGGTTTATGGTAGCACTAGGTAGGATTCTTTGTGTCTGATGAAGTGAGTTGCAGCTTAATAAAACATATTCCTTCCAGTAAAATGTGTAGGTTGGAAAAGGTGCTACTAGCTTTCTGATTTTTCCTCCCTCTCAAATGTCTTACCCTAAAATGAGCATTTGTGACTGAGAGTAGCTAATGAAATCTTTTTGTTAACACTGTGGCCTGATTCACTCCTCTTCATTTCTAACTATATTTAAATGCAGTGCATCAGTTAAGGTGGACTGGCAAAAGGGAGATCCTGATTTTGATCCAGCCTCAGCTATAGGAGCTCACTATCCCAAAGTACACAGTAATTATGGTGGGAGATATTTGGAGGAGGGAGTGCTATGGACACTGATTGACACTCCTGAAGAAAGCATGAGTTATAAACCAAACAACTTGAGGAAGCAGGTATATATAATCTACTTAAGTAAACCTACTTAGTATATTAAATAAGTAAAATATAATTGCTATAAGAATGAATAATGACCACAACATATCAGAGTGTTAAGCCTTAAGCAAATTAAGATGTGTGGTTTAATGTACTTAATCCTGGGCTGGATTAGTCATTTGCTTCCTTAAGCAAAAAGTTTGTGAATATTTCTGCAAAGTCAGTTCTCTCATATCAATAACTTGTGCCAGATTGAGCACTCTTTATGATATTGTGAAAACAATTACACAGCAGACAACCTAGACATAGAGAGACAGAATGTGAATATCTCAGTAGAAATTAAATTATTGGTTTCTTTCATTCATTCCCTCTATATGTGCTAAAGAAAGAGGAGGACTAGATTTGATGGCCCTAAACCTGATGTTCTTGTGTTTTGCTACTTCCAAATATTTGCAAAATATTGCATTATTATACTTAGTTAGACTTCCAGCTAATTAGAGCCTAAGTGAGTTTGGCCCCATCCTTGACAGCCATCCAGAAGTCCCTCAAAGTGCGGTTATGTCAATGAGTTTGCAGATCTCAGAGAAATAGAGAATTGTTGAGATGGCTTCATTGTCTAAGGCTGTGGGATTGTGTCTAGTGTGTGCAGGACATATGATGCAGTAATATATCTTGTAGGAACTCCATTTTTATATTTCTGGGTATCGGTACTATATCCATAGACATGATTTTCTATTAAGATGAAACAAACTTAACATTCTTATTAAAATCTTCATCATAAAACACGATCAGCCAAACACCAACACTTCACCATTTCATATATGTAGCATATGTGTCACATGAATGTAACCAAAATCATTTCAGTAGTGCTTGCTTTTCAATATATAATATAGAATGAAAAAAATATTGAGTTCTAATAAAAGACTGGAAGTCAGGTGAAACACATGCTGGGACAAGCTGGGCTGCCCTTGAAGACTATCCAGAAGCTTCAGCTGGTACAGAATGCAATGGTGTAGCCATTGAACAATGCACATTACACCTCTACTCTGCGAGTTTGCCAGTTTGCTTTCAGATCCAATTCAAGGTGCTGGTTTTGACCTTTAAAACTCTGCATGGCATGACCATGTTTTATTCTAGGGATGGTATATTTGTTTTTGTAATTTTTATTTTAATCTGGATTTTATATTTTTATGTAGCCTGTTTCTATATTTATTGTTGTTTGATTGATGTACACTGCCTGGAATCACATTTTGTGAGATGGCTGTACAAATTTGATAAATAAAGTTTTTTGGTTAAAAATGCAAGCAAGTAGCATTAATATAAAATGTTAGCATTGAAGAAAAGGGGGGGAAATTATCCAGACATCACTTGACCATTTTTCTTGTTTTGACCTCTTTTGTAACTTTTTATTTCATTTTACAAATGTATATTTGATGCATTCCCAAATTACACTTGGATGACTTGAAAATATGTCAATAAGAAAAAGTGATGGGTTCTTTATATCTCTTAAAGGGCTTAGTAAAAAGAAACATTTTGGGCCTGCATCTGAGTTATAATTAGGATGGAGAAAGCCTCAATTCCAATGGTAATTGTTTTCACAAGAAATTAGTACTCTGGTGGAAAAAAGTTGTATTGATTGTCAATGTAAAACTTACCCAGAGCATAAGTAGCAAAGGTGCCCACTGAAGATCTGTAAACCTAAAGTAGATTTTATGGGAGTACACAATCCAATAGGCATGGAGAAGCTGGTTCTGTAATTGGTTTTGGACTTCATTTTCTATACTCATTGATGACAGTCAGTGTTGGTTGGAGCAGATGGAGATATAGGCCACTTGTTCCCAATGCTTTCTGCATATTAATTTGTTAAAACAACAGAATATATTCGAAAACTACTATTACCTCATTCACTTGGCAGAGAAAGGATTCATGGCACTTTAACAGATGATACTAGCAGTCCAGCTCTTGAAAAAATAAAAGCAAAGGACCAGGCTTCATGTATGCTTGGCACAAATTAGTCCATAATCTTAAGTTGAACTGAAATTAGCAAAAGGAATTAATCAAAACTAACCCAATCTGTTTTCAGTGAAATTTGGGAATAACATATATTTTAATTTGGTTGAAGACAAATAATAATTTCCCAAAATTATCAAAGTCACATGGATAGATGCATTTATTTATTTTTAATAATTTCCACAAGATATTTTATTCAAATTCTAAATTAGTCACTATGCTTGTTTGTTTTTTTTAAAAAGTGTAAAAACTCAGATTACTTCATGGTTCCAGGATATTTGGCTTACTTGAGTAATATGTTTGCCATTGTAGAGTGGGAAAACTATATTTCAAATCTCTTGTCTAGGCTCGTCAGTGGTCTGTTTAATTTCTGAAACATCTATGGCTTTTTTTTAAAAAAAACACAAGAATGTTAAACTGAAACAGGCAACTTTGTATTCTGTTGATCTTTGAACAGGATGCTATGGAGAAAATGGAGAAAATTGGGCGGATTGTGCTGCCAAACCACAAGGATAAAAGGTAATAGGATTTTTCAGTGAGTTTTGTTTGTTAGAGAGTTATAAAATTGCATAAAGCTATTTATGCTGGGAAATGAATTTTTATCCCTTTGTTCTTAAATATCCATTTTTTAAAATATAACTTAGGAACATGTGGCCAAAAAATTGCAACCTGATGTGTAAGATGGTTTAAAAAAGATATATGTTGTTCTGAATAATATATCAGGTGATCAGCACATGCTAGGAAATCCATGTGTATTTCTCCATTCTAACTTGTTGAGGTAGTAATAGAACTTTTTATGGAAAAAAGAAAGCTGGTTCTCTTTCTCTATAGTTGCACCTTGATTATTTCACCAGTTTTTAACAATATCTGTGTTGCATCAAGTAGAAGAAATTAGAAAGACAACAATAGTTAAGGAAGTAATTCCCCCATCAGTTATCTCTCTGCTGCAAGTCTCTCCCTATTTTTGATTTCCACTAGAAAATATTGCTGGGATTTCCACGTTCATGTGGGGCCATATGAATTATGGTATGTTGGGGATGGTTGTCACCGTGTAATGTTTTTTAAAGTGCTTATTGTGAACACATCGCCCTCCCCCTTCCAATCTTCCTTCTTTTGTCTCTTCTGCTCCTAGTCCTGACATGGAATAGAGGGGGTAAGGGCCCACAAGAGTTGATGGAGGAACATACGATGACTCAATTTTGTCATTTGTCTCTTCTTCACTTTAATAATAATGATGATGATGATGATGATGATGATGATGATGATGATGAT